CTCTCTCTCTCTCTCTCTGTGTCTCTGTCTCTCTCTCTCTCTCTCTCTGTGTCTCTGTCTGTCTCTCTCTCTCTCTCTCTGTGTGTCTCTGTCTCTCTCTCTCTCTCTCTGTGTCTCTGTCTCTGTGTCTCTGTGCCTCTCCCTCTCTCTCCCTCTCTCTCTCTGTGCCCCTCTCTCTCTGTCTGTGCCTCTCCCTCTCTCTCTCTGTGTCTCTGTCTCTGTCTCTCTCTCTCTCTCTGTGTCTCTGTCTCTCTCTCTCTCTCTGTGCCCGTCTCTCTCTCTTTCTCTTTCTCCCCCCCCCACCCACCCCTGCGCGCACATGCATATGTGAAGCCATGGGGTGAATTTGTAATTGCAGATACATTCTATTTTGGCCAAAAGGTTTATGGAAAGTCAGTCAATGAGGCATTTTATAAATTCCTACTTTAGAAATGAAACAATTCTGACTCCAAACCAAATCACAAACAGATTCTAAACAAGACTGGGTTATAGGGGGATGGGTCTGGGTGGGATGCTCTGAGGTTCAGTGTGGACTTGGTGGGCTGAAGGGCCTGTTTCCACACTGTAGGGATTCTATTCTATGATTTTAAGACTTCACACCTGCCATGCATTGTCTGGCCTAAAATACCACCTCTTCCTTACACTGATAAAATCTTTAGTTCTCTCATAGCAGTGTCTTGGAAGAAATTTGAAATTTTCATATACATATTAAACAATTAAAACCTTCGAATTGATTAAAGATTTAACGGCATCTTATGTATGTTTAATATATCCTCATCAGTGGTGTGACCCTTTGATCTTTTACTTGCGTATTCTGTGTCTGATAGTACCTCTCCAACACCTGAAGAAGGAGTATGGCTCCGAAAGCTTGTGTTTTCAAATAAACCTTTTGATCTATAATCTGGTGTTGTGTGGTTTCTGACTTTGTCCACCCCAGTCCAACTCCAGCACCTCCTCGTCGTGATGTCATTTGTGAAAGGTACTGGAAAGATAGATATAGAACAGAAACAGTGACACCAAGTATCTTTTCTGTATCTGTTCAGTTGCTCAAGTTTCCCTCTAATGTAATTGTGTTTAACAGTTGTTGCATCAGGGTATGAGGAACCATTCTGTCTGATAGAAAAGGTAGTTCGGTAAATGTAATCTTGCCATATTCAAATTACTTGGACTGGTTATCAATTTTATTCTCCCCACCTTTCCCCTAAATAAATCTGCGTCCTTCCCAGTGAAAAGCAAGTTGCTGAGAAGAGTCATAGGAAATTTGTAGAAAACAACTTGCGCAGATCTTTCTGGTTAAGTTGCAAGGAATTTAAATTTTGTTTGTTTCTTGAGATAAAGGTGGTGTAATAGCAACAGGTTAGGGAATCTTTTATTCATCAAGAACCAGATTTTTGATTGTGATTACACACCTTTCATAGGCTAATATTTAAAGATGAAAGTGACTGCTGACACACTGGAGAACTGTGGTTGACCCGACAAGTTTCAGTTCCTTGAACAGCAGAAAAAAGTACATTTTTTAAGTTAATTATTTTGAAGTATCTTGAAATTCACTTTTTAGCACCAAGTTTAAATTTTCAAATATCACTTGTTCATTCTTCATTCCTTGATGCACAGTTAATGTATTTTTCAGATTCAGTTGTAAATGCATCACACGCTGTGAGCACAGAATGAAGAAGGCAAGCAGGTCCGCTCCTGCAGCATCCAAACTCCAGGGTACTTGTAAAATGCAGACCATTGAGAAAATTAAATCGGATAACTGCTCTTCAGTAACCACAGTTACAAAGGCTTCGAAAGCAGGTTCAACAGCCGCGTTAACTAAGGTAATTATTTCTTTGCTGCGCTATAGGATGTGGAAAAACCTAAATGTTGAAGCTACAGAGTGTGGTAGAAATGGGTTAGACGAAATTGTTACATTTTGTTTACTCTTTTTTTTCATTGTATGGCATGTTGGATTTCAGATCCCCCTTACCTAGAGCTCAATGTTAGTACCTTCATACATCTTCTTCAGTAAATGAAGTAAAGCAGTGTGATCTTGGTTTCTGATGAATATAAACTTTTCTTCTCTTAGATAAGCTTGAAAGGTTTTTTTCAGGACGGTACTGGGGAGGACAAGTTAACTTAGGATGGTATGCCTTAAATCATTTCCTTTTGTCTAATGAGAAATTGTATCTGACTTAGCTTATTGCAAGCCCGAACCCTTGATCTGCTTGTCAACCAAAAGTCAAATTGCCAGGGCCTAATCTGGCACTTACCTCTGATTTTGTAACCACATGCTCTATAATTCAAGAAACAGTTTTGTAGCACCAAAGCAGGCCTTTCAGCCCGTTAAGTAAAGTTCTTTTACTCTGAATCAAAAGTATGGTTTCCTAGAGAATATTGTTGTAATGCTGTTAACACAGAGATTGCTTGCCCTTCTAATGCACCTCTCGCGCTAAGGATGTTAATACAATTCAATGATCATCTTTGCAGGCTATATTCTTCATTTTTTAAAACTTCAATAACGTGATGTGGTTGTTGCTGGTGAGGCCAGCATTTGTTGCCCATCTCTAAATATCCTTGAAAAAGAGATCATGAGTTGCTTTCTTGAACTGCTGCAGTCCCTGGGGATGCTTGGTTGACTTGCTAATTTGTCCTGAAATCCATCCTGCAACATAAATGAGCCCAAATGGTCAAAGGGAAAAAAAAAGTCCCTAATAGGTTCCTAGTGGACATCAAGCTTCACAGAATAGAATCCCTGTGTGTGGAACAGGCCATTCTCCCCATTAGGTCCACACTGACCCTCCAAAGAGCATCCCACTCAGACCCACCTCCTACCCCATCCTGCATTTCCCACCCTAGATACGATGGGCAGTTTAGCATAGCCAATCCACCTAATCTGCAATCTTTGGACTGTGGGAGGAAACCGGAGCGCACAGAGGAAAACCCTGCAGACACAGGGAGAAAGTGCAAACTCCGCACAGACGGTTGCCTGAGGCTGGAATCGAACCCAGGTCTCTGGCACTCTGAGGCAGCAGTGCTAACCACTAAGCACTGTGCCGCCCTTTATGAAAAATTCTTTAGGTCACTCAGATTGTAGTGCCAAGTATTACTCACCTTTTCCTTTGATAGAACATTTATTTCTTCAGTTTGATTTTTGAAAGCAGTGATGAACTGAAGAAATTTTTTTGAAGGATGCTTTTGTTTTAAAACAGTAAATTCATATTTTACTGAGCAGGTAATGAAAGTATGCTGTCCAAATTTAAGGTGGGGAATTTAGTCTTGAGTGATATTCTGATTGAGGAGAACTGTAGTCCAGAACAGGGGGTAATTTACCATATATTTGCATTGATCCTGAACCTTCTATTTTGCAACATCTTAGCCTTAAGCTGTAGTTATTAACTGATATCGAGAATTTAGAAAATGCATTGGATTGCTTCCTGATCCAGCTTATCGATGAAGGTGTTTTGAGCATAGGAGAGAAGTAAATGATTAGTGGAAGTCACTGCTAAATGTATTTTCTCAGTTCAGTTTTCTCGAACTTGCTCTTGGTTTGTGAAGTTAATATGTGCTTAAATCTCTCTACAAGCTGGCTGACAGTCCTAATGCAATCTGGAATACAACACCAGTATTTTCTCCAGCTCACGATCACTAAAGCTTGTCATAGTTTTAGATTAATCAATGGTTCATGGTTTGTAATGGAAAGGGTCCACAATTCTCATTTTAATTTTATTGTCTCACTGATTGGAGGTTATGAGACAAGCTATCATTCACAATTGAACCACAATATTGTTGTGGTGAAAATGTGGTCAGCTGTGGTTTCACACGTTTCCTGTATATTACTGCTTAACATTTAATGAACAGAAACTAAACTTTTCTGTTTTGCAGTTTCCGATATTGTAGTTTAAATATTTATCTGCTGCTGTTACTATTTAAACTTGTTAATGTAGTGGAATTGGTTCTTGTGAAAGTAGTCTATTCTACTTTTAATCTATTTTTAAAAGAGCTAGCTCTAGTTTAGAATGTGATTGAGGGTTTTAAGAGCAGAACATGATCCGATCTAGCATGAATTTAAATTAATATACTTCTGG